TCCGGACTAGGTGCGCTCCTCTAAGTCTTCCTACCAATATGACCAAGTTGTTAAAACAAGGTCAAACAACTTCTATACAACAAAAGGAGACTGCGACCACACAAAAGGCCACACCATCTTAGTCTTCATATCTTAACATGTTAGCTACTTGATATACCATTGCGTATTTTTCTGTCAACTTCTGAGTGGAAGGTGCGGTGTCAAGCTTTGATTGGGAGATGCGAAATAAAGAGTCAAGATTAATCACGCACTCACATGATCTCTGAGCCAAAGGATGTTGAGCTATGGCTACGTATGGGATGTAACAAAAATTAACTATTGAATGGGAAAAATGTTGGGATAGGTCACTTCAATACAATAAAATGTGCTATAAAATAGTAAATTGTGAAATGCCTTGACAAAAAAATAAAAGTTTGAGGGATAACCAGAAATGGGTAGGAAGATACCACTTGATCAGTCGGGCAGAGGCTGCATCCTTTAAGTGGGATAACGAATTGCTAAACCAGTTGGCCAGCTTGTCTAAAGTGCATTACACCATTTATGTAGCCAATGCTAGTGACTGAGGCCCCTAAAGATGTAACAATTTTTCTGCTTCAAAAGATTTCGTTGAGACCAAAATTCGATGAAAGAAATGCATCCTGAGGAAAGAGAACTATATTAAGACCCGCGTACTAGCGCACAGTTTATACGATCACTTGAGCAATAAGGGATATTTATAGTTAAATGCAAAGGCGAATAAAGTAGCAAGAGTATGATTAAGCAAGCAAAAGTAAATAGAAAAATTAATGAATAATAAGAGCTATCTACGGGTTTTGTATATTGCCTGGCAGCACTTCCTCATCCAACCACGTGCTGGCTCACAGTTTGCCCAAACACCCGAGAAGTCTGTAGCTGGACGAGACGAGTGCGCAATTGCGATTCATTTGCCTCCGCTCTGGCAAGTCGAGTGGCCACCCAGGCTTCTAACTGATCTAGCAGACTGAGCGCCCGTCGACAGGTTGAAGCCTCACAGTCGTTGATCCCAACCACTTCGAAAAGTTGCACGAGAGTGACGCGTAGCTGACTAATGAGAGTAGATTGGATGTGACCATGTGTGATGCCAATAATAGCCACTGCTTTATTGGGTATGTGATCACTGGAATCTGAGGCGGCCACAAATGGCCCTGACGAGGCGGTCGTAGCTTCGCCAAGTGCCTCAAGAGGGCCTGACAGAGCTTGGGGAGCATCACTCTCATCTAACCGGCATTTTGCCGAGAGCACAGCCTGCAGCTCAGAAAGCTGAGCATGGGCGGCAGACAGCTCACTGGCGGTAGTGGTGAAACGTTCCTGGAAGGCTGTTAAAAGGCGGCGCACCTCACGACAAGCTTGTGAGCTGCAAGGGCTAAGATTCACCTGGATTCAAAAGCGTAGAGATAAGCAACATGAGATAATGAGATAATCAAGTGGATGTGCAATATATAAATGTGAAAATAAGGCGAGAAATATAATATATTATGTATACCTTATATTTGTAATGCTAAGAAAATTTGGGTTTCGAGAAATCTCTTGTTTCATAATTGTTGAGCTTACTTAAATTTCGAATAAAAGTGTTTTATAAAGAGATTCGAAGGTCGATTTCACCAGAAGATGACGGCGGATTCA